TCTGACACAATTATACTTGTTGATAATGTTTCGCTATGGGAAGGGATACGACTTTTGTAGTCATATCCGAGTATCCTTCAAAGTAACATTATGACAATTTTCAAGCCTCCTGCATTTCAAAAAATTTAGCTGTCACTTGAGCTTCCTCTGAAGTTCCAATTTTAATCGCTTTCAATTTAGCGAAACCGAACCATTAAGCCAAATAAACTTGTAGAAAAGAGACTCCATCTTGGAAATGATATACTATGTCTTGCCAGAACTTTTGGTTTCTTGAAAAATTTCTACATTTGCACAACAAAGGACAGACGTACCAGCCTAATACTTAGCCAATCAGAGGCGCCCTATAATTATTCGCTACTATAGATTCAGAGGAGCCGTCTCTCATATCAATATGGATCGAATTTTCTTTTCTGCATTTAAAATTTGTTGACAATATCTACTTCAAATTTTGTTGCTCAACACAGTTCTTCGCAGTTCGACATCCAGAGTTACCCCCGCGATGGTTCATCACCTCATCGTGGCGCAGCGGTGACTCTGGGCGTCGAACTGCGAAGTACAGCGGAGATTTATCCTCCAGCAGGGTCTCCCAAGCTGAGAAGGAGATCGACGTTCTCAGCTTTCCGGATGCCCAGCTAGGAGTAAGCCATGCCAGAAGCATCACCGTCTAGCCGATTCAGTCGCTAGGTGGTATCCTGATCCACACACGGTCAGCGATTACCTGTGATGAAAGCTTGGCAGGGCCCTGGCAAGGCACTGCTAATGTTTGGGAAGATGTACTTTACTCAGTGCCTTACAGCATATACAGCACGGGAGATTTGGATCAGGATTCTGAAATGAGAATGGTAACCGTTTTGTTGGGCTCTTATCCGCCGCACGGCTTTTTCATGGCAACTCCATTTTCACAAAGAAAGAACATCGGCGGTGGACATGGAAGTCAGCCAACGGTACGATTTATGCGGAGATCGACCACATTCTCACCACTCGAAGGTGTTCACTAGGTGTCTCAGTGGTACATCCTTCAGCAGTGGTTCATATCACCGCAATCTTCGGTCAAAAGTGCGATTCAGCCGAAAGCTGGAAAAGAAGATCTGCCATCGTGTTAGAGGATGGAGAGAAGTCGTATATGACGGCGTCAGACTGGAGAAGTTCCTGACCACTTGTGACTGGCCCATCGAGGAGGACCCAACGAAAGACTACGACCTGCTTCTTGAAGAACTGAGAGCCTGTGGTGAAAGTGCCTCAATGCCTCGCACTAGAAATTTGGAACGAATTTTGAAAGCCTCCAAGGATCTGTTAGAGCGGAGAAGAGCACTGAGCTTGGATCTGCCTGCATCACATCTCGAGCGACTGGTAGCCAATACCAGTTGCTGAACAGTTTTGCAAGAAGATTTTCGAATAGAATCGAAACTTCTGGAAGCAGCGCAAGGACGGAGAAGTGTAAAGACCGCAAGGACCTTCTCGACTATCATGTTCCGCTGACAACATTACTAAACGAAAATGGGACTCGCACATCTTCCCGACAAAAGATGGAATCGATAACAAAGAAATCCTACACCAATCTCTTTCGTTCGTCAACATCCGTGTCAAACCCCGTTATTCTGGAGAAATACCACCACGAATTCTACCTGCTGAAGTACGCGCCGCAATCAAGACCATGAAGGCAGCCAC